CAAAAAAAAAAAAAAAAAAAAGAAAAAGAAACCCTCACCTCAAAGTAGATAAATAAGAGGGTCCAACACTGTTTTAGAATATTTAACTGAATTCAAATATATATCTTCAACCACTGGCGCAGGAGCTAGTAAATCACTTTTTTCTATTATAAAAATAAAAGTAAAGAAAGTGAGAGAAAGGAAATGGAAAAATGTGTCTACCTTAAAAGTTAGTCTATAGTTAGCATATAAATTAGAAAGTTAGTTAGAAAGAGAATTATTGATGTTTTATACTACTTTGTGAGGTAAAATTAGATTCCCTTTAAAGTTAACTTACCAGACAAAAAGAAACAAAGGATCATATGTATCTCAATATAAAAGAATGCAAGAAAGGAAGAAAAGAAGGCAAGCAAAGGAAAAAAGAAAAGAAAGAAAAAAAGGAAATTATAATGGCAAGAGAGGTGTTAAAGAAGAAAGTAAATGAGATGCCAAAATAGACCAGCTATTAGTTCTTATAACCAACTTTAAACAGTCCAAAGAGGTTTAGATTAATTAACTGAGCAAACACATTAACTGAGCACTTACTATGTACTACATATTATACTATTTACTGTGAAGATATACAGATTAATAACCCATGGTCTTTAACCTTAAGGATATTACCTACGATTACTAGATTTACCGAGAAAGAAAATTAACTATATTAAAAAGTAAAATGTGGAGGGGATTAGCACGTGAGCTGAGCCACTGTCTGAACAGCTCTTTGCTTTCCCTGAGCACAAACCAGTCTAGCACCATGCTCCCGGAAGAGTAGTGCCTGAGCAAAGATGCTGGTCGACCAGATCTGCATTTCCCATGAAGGGCAGACTAGCCTGGTGCCCTATGCAAAGGAGCAGTATCTGCACCAAGCCGCAAGTTGGCAAGACTTGTGCTTCCCCAAAACAAGGACCAGACAGGTTGCTTGTTCTCAGGGGAGCAGAGTTCAAGTAGGTGGACCAGCTGCACAAACCTCTGCAACCAAAACCACTGAGGTTCTTACAGGTACTACTGACATCGACTATAGCTGAAGAAATCATACAAAAACTACAATATATATCCACCCAGAACAAAGCCTACCCAACTGACACCCTAGGACACATCAGCAGTCCTTCCCCATGAAAGTCACTCTACAAAATTGGAAGAAGCACCTGTTTCACCATATGTGCAGAAATCAATGCAAGAAACATAAAGAAGCAAGGAAATGTCACCACTAAAGAAGCAAAATAATTCTCTAATAACTGACCCCAAAGCAATGGAAATTTATGAATGGCCTGAAAAGGAAATAAAAATAGTAATCTTAAGGAAACTCAGTGAGACACATGAAAATACAGATAGACAAAGATTTATGAGTAAACACAGGCAGCAAAAGCAAAATAGACAAATGAGATTATATCAAACTAAAATCCTTGGGCACAGCAAAGGAAGCAGTCAGTAGAATAAGCAGAAAGTCTTCAGAATGTCTTCAGAATGGGGAAAATATTTACAAACTATATCTCTAAGGGATTAATAATCAGAATATGCAAGGAACTGAAACTTCTCAACAGCAAATAATTCAATTAAAAATGGGACAAAGGCCGGGCTTGGTGGCTCAGCCTGTAATCCCGCGCCTTTGGGAGGCTGAGGTGAGTGGATTACCTGAGCCCGCAGGTTCGAGACCCACCTGGGCAGGCGAGACCTCATCTCTACAATAAATCAAAAAATTAGCCGGGCGTGGTAGCACACGCTTGTAATTCTGACTACTCGGAAGCCTGAGGCGGAAGGATCGCTGGAGCCCAGCAGGTTGAGGCTGCGGTGGCCAGGAGCGGCCACTGCACTCTAGTCTGGGCGACAGAGTAAGACTCCAACTCAAAAAAAAAAAATGGGACAAGGATCTGAGTAGACATTTTTCAAAAGAAGACATATCAGTGGTCAACAAATATAAGAAAACATGTTCATCATCATTAAACATCAAGGGAATGCAAATCAAAGCCACATTGAGACATGATTGCTCCCAGTTAGAATGACTATTATTAAAAAGGTAAAATCAAATTCTGAATACCAAATTCTGGTGAGGATGCGGAAAAAAGGGAATTTTTATACACTGTTTATGGTTATAAATTAGTGCAGGTTTTTGTTTCATTTTCTATCTCATGGACTTTTTAAAATTTGGGATATTTGCAAAAAGATAGAAATACAAGTTACATTTTTAAAGTCACACAACAGATTCAAGATCTGCAAACTCTCACTTTCTGTTTTTGTAATCTAAGAAAATAATTGTTGCAGCTCAAAGAGGCCATGCTCAGCAGTTCAGATTAACTCATGATTATCTCCAGACCAGCCCTACTTCCTTGTTTCTAGATCCTCTTCTACCCTTAATGGAGCCCTGCTCCATTGTTTCCTTTTGACTGACTTTTTTTTTCCTTCCTTCTTACTGTCATGGTGTATTCAGACAATCTGCCTTTGTCATTGCTTCAGAAGCTGTTATAGATGACTGCTCTGATGAGGAAAGGAAACCCTGATGACCGCACTGTCCATTTACCTCACAGAATCATGGCCCCTGAAGTATCAGATTTAAAAGAGATGAAAGAGATAGCAGAAATATTTTCCACTCTATATCAATTTAGTCGTGTGGGAGTAAGTAATTGCCCTGTGGGTGGCAATATCTAATTTGCTAGGAAAAGTGGAAAATCTGCTGGTGAAACAAAGCACTATGTGAGCATAAGCTTCATTCTTCATGGGACTGCTTCAATTGCTTAAATGAGTTATTTAGGTACTTTAAAGAGTTTGTCATTGAGATTCAGCTTGTCTTGCAAAGAGAGAACAATCACACCCTACATGTTTCCCATTTCCTGAGTGAGACTAAGAAGTAGAATGCTTGGAATCCTACATAGCAGGAATAGTTGAGAAGTGCACAATAGCTCCATATACAGTGAGGAAGGTCAGACATGAACATCTTGAGAGAATGAGTCTTGTCAAATAGTCAAGATCCTTACTTGGATAGAAACTGAGAACTAGCCTATTAGCAATGTCCAACAGTTTTGTATGCTACTATACTGCAGAATTTCTCCAATTTTTACCCAAGATTTGAATGAAAGCATAATATCCTCCACCTGCGGTTATTAGATTTGGCAGCATCTTTCCATGAATAACTGGTTTTGATCAGATATAGGCAGTGACGGGAAACCAAATGCCTACCACATCTGAAAATGTAGCCTAGTTGCAGCCCCTGCCAATGGATTTTGGGAAATTCCCGATTATTTATAATAAAACACCTCTTACTTAAGCTAATATGAGTGGAGTTTTTTTCTTTTCTTTTCTTTTTTTCTTTTGCAGTCAAGCAGATTCTTAAAACAATACCAAACTTCCATTTGCCTTTGTAAACAATCATTTAAGTTATACGGGTGAACACAATCAAGATATCTTCAGCAAGGGAGAAAGTTTTCAGTATAATTTTAGTCCCCAAAAATAATTTAAAAAGAGAATAATACAGTACTATTTGTGCTGACAAGAGATGCCTTTTGGCCAGCTCCATTGCTTCAATGTTAAAGTTCTCATCTATTTCCTTGTTACAGACTGAACATGCCACCTTCTGATGTCCTGTAGATTCTCCTTTGGCCAACTAAATACAATACAAATAAAAACCAAATATATGAATATTAACATGTTGTTTAGCATAAACCACAAATAATTCTTGTACTAGTTTTAAATATGCTTGAAAATATGGTAGATATAGAAAAATGTTCAGATCCTCATCATTCACTCAGTTATACAGAAGATAAAATAATGGCCAGTTGGGGGGGGAGAAATTATATAATGTTGGGAGCCAACATATGGAATCTTACGGCTGAGGCCTATAAAGGCCTATTCAGAAGCTTGCCTCAGAGACAAGGATTTGACATCAAGCATATACATATGAATAGTAACCAATGTATTATAAGACAATCAGGATTTTCAATATTGAGCTTATTTTATTTTATGAAAAACATACAGCAGAATTACTTTAAAATCTCTTTTTCCTTCTAAACTGTTTTTCCTCTTAAGATTTTTTAGCTGTCATTTCCTGGTATT